AAGGATATTTCATTTTGAGCAAATCCCACCTGCCTTCCAAAATCTGAAAAAATTTATATTTTATATGATAGCAAAAAATTTTGAGTCATGAAAACTGTAGGAAAACATTAGAGCAGAACTGTAGAACAACTAAATAGAAATGAGTGTGTCTACCCCATGAGATCGTCCTTCTATTTTTTAAGGCTTCCAAATAGCTGTAGTGACTGGGTTTTTCTCTGGTTTCACATGAAATATATACATGGGTTGTATCAAAAAACTTCTGACTACTCGCTATATTTAGCAGTTTTTTTGCCCAGTGGAAAGACACTTGGTGATTCTCCAGAGCTTGTAAATGAAATTTTACAAAAGAACTTTGCTACTTCTTGAAGAAGTCCAATAAATTAAGGCACTAGCCAAATTTTACTAAACTAAGTCAAAATAAGAAAAGTTACAAACTGAGCTGCTATTCCACAAATAGGAACACTGGGGGCAGGGGCAAACAGCTCTGCTTCCAGAGCCACAGCCAAGTGGCCAACCTAACACCCAGAGGAGATTTATTCAAATACAATGTTAATGAGAAATCGCCTTCCCCAAGATGACCTCTTTCGCTTGATTAATTCAGTCTGAGAAACTGAGCCAGTTTGTTTTTCATGCCCAGCCCAACAGATTATTTGCTATTCAATTTCTAAATGTGTCAAATATAATTAAAACAGGCAGAGGCCAAGATTAAATCAAACAAACTGTAAACATTGCTTGTGCTATTGGGTTGATGCAAAGCTTTCACCATAAAAGGCTTTTAAATAAATGAATTCAGCTATTATTGTGTGGCAGCACAGAAACCTTGCTGCTAGTGTTTGAACTTTTCAGGGACACTGTCAGGTCAGCTTAGATTCAAAATGTAGAACATAGCTGGGTTATGCAATTGCCCAAAGAAAATGGGTACCTGACTTCTGCTGAAAGTCAAAGTGTCGCAAGAGGTGAACTGATTTCCAGCAGGAATTAGATGCCTTTGAAAAGCCCGTTCATATCCTTGTAAACAGAAAACCATGTCCTTTGCAGAGATAAATGAATGTAATGCCTTGATTCAAATTGAACAAGTTTTACAAAGCCTATCAAAAAACCCTGAGAGCTGCCCTTACTTACGGTATACGATCATATTTTTTTAGCATTACATATTCTATTTTATTGTGCAATAACGATATTTCACAAGAATTATATTGTTATGGCATGGCGTAACTTATAAGCCTGACTTCCAGTAAATTAGTTCATCAAGGACTTTCAGTTTCAGTATGCCAGCCTGCAACTTGCTGCTTAATCCACTGGCTTTAGTGGCACTCCTGATTTGAAGTGCAGATCCAGAGCTTCAATACATCCAAGATTTTCACAGAAACATCTTTGCATTAAAAAAATAAAGCCCGCATCTCATTAGCCATAATGCAAATTCATATCAGGAAATGGGGAAACAGTAATTCTGAAAGCAGGTTCCTGTCTTCTTTTAGTTCTAAGCAATACAAATTAAAATTAAAATTTGCTTTTGAAATAGATCCCTAGCTATCTGACAATATTTCTTTTCATTTATCCTCATCACTGCTTTCATTTGTAAGAAATGTGATGTTGCCTGAATTTCTGTTGTTTATTTTTTTACACAGGATAGATATTTGGAACGTGATAAATTCTTCTTTTTTTGGCACATGTGTACTTCTATCTCCAAGTATCACATGTCTTTAAAAACTTGATGTTACATTATGAACTGAGCTTTTGGGGCTTTCGTCCAATGGCTTTAGAAAAGCAACTGCAGTAGCACCACTGTAGCTCTGCAGAAGTTCCCTTTCCAGTCTTTAAGTTTTTTTTTTATTTTTTCAAATCCCTAATATTCTCTAATGATTCTTTTGGCCTCACAGGGAAAGCATTGAGCAGAGCTTCTAACTGGTAAGTCAGAGGTGTTTTGGGGACTGCATGACTTCGTGATACAAGGTGGCACAGTCACAGAATGTACAGCCCTTCGTCTCTGGAACTGCAATTCACATCTGAACAGAGGTGATTAGGTAAAACTAGTGCACTTATTCCCTCTTTATCTTCAGTGGACAAGAAATCTGACCACAGAATCACTGTAGAGTGCCTTGTGATGGGTAGACTTGGGTCATGCAAAAACCATAGCAGAGAGAGAAGGAGGGCAAGGCTGATGAACAAAGGCAGAGCTAGTGCATGCCAAAACCATTTACTTGATCCCCTGCTTTCATAACTATAGATGGCTTCGGATATATTGAAAGTAGCTGCAAAAGTTTTCTCTGTGGTGGTGGATAATGAGGGGTCGGTATCCTAAAGAATGGAAAGGAGCAATACTGCTGGCTTGCACTTTGGGAGCAATGAGGATCACCCTACGACCATCCTAATGATCTGCTACCAGGTTTTGTCATATCCTGAAAGCTGAAAAATCTCTAGTGAATTGACTAGGCAGACTGTAATGCTTTCTTTATTTCCATTAGTTCCCATGCATTTTTCTCTCCTTCAATATGTTTTCTCAACTATTTGCTAAGAATATTGCCTGAAATATTATTTCAGCTGTTTCACTGTGTTGTGCTTAGATCTCCAGAATCAAATTTTGAAAGCTAATTAGGTAGGGAAGGATTGAGGTTAAAATCCTATTTGCATCCTGGTCATTAATGATGATGCAGAACTGTAGAATAACATGGACACAAGGAACTTGTGTATTTTGGTTATTTCATATGGTTTTGCCTTGATCATTTAGGAAAGGGGGTAACACTGAGTATCTTCTGTCTACAGCACTCAGCAAAATTTGACATTTTCAAGTACATCAGATTTAATAACCAGTATAAATGGAGATATTAGCTGCACTTTCAAAGGTTGTAGCTGTTCTGATCAGGATGAGAGCTCTGCTTAAGCAATGGGTGAAGTCCTAAATTATTCCTTATAGTGGCAGCATGAGGAATACTTCTGCAACACTGAAATCTTAGGGTTACAGGCAGTGAACAGAGACACTGCTGAACGAAATCAGAAAGAAGTACTTTTCTCATTTTATATCCAAGTATTTTTATTCAGTATGGTTGAGACAAAGCTTTGGGAGAAAAAAAAAAGTGTAACAGTGTAATAGATTTTGGATCCTATAACATAACTAAAACATATCAGCAGCAATTTTTTGAAAATACGTCAAACCACTAGAGACAAATGCAATTCCTTTTCTGGCCAGAGTTAAGGTTTGTGAGCTGATTTGGATCTTACATAAAGGCAAATGTGGAGGGACATTTCACTGCTGCACAGCTGAGAAGACAGTAGGCTTGCAAGTAGTGGCTGCAGCTTGAAGCTCTCCTTTTAACTAAGGACAGCAAAATTTGACTTAGAATATTTTAACTTTAAAATGTCAGGAAAAGCATGCAATTCTTTTTCATGAGTTAAGTGCAGTTGTTTATTTTCTGATTTTGCTTTATTGTATGAAAGATTCCAAGAGGTATGTTCTCTTTTCAAATTCAAATATTACTTGAAATGAGTATTGAAACACTATCTTACAGTACTAGGAACCTGAAAAAAAGAACTTTGAGGCAGACTGAAGAAAAAGGATGTGATACTACTCTGTAAGTTGAAGAAGCTATCTGCATTTTTCCATGTGAGAGAAATGAAGAACTACATGGGGCTCCTTTAAATGTCCTAAAATTGTAGTATTCTGGAAGGTATTCTAGCTAAACAGAAATGAGAAAACGTTCAGTCCTGATACATGTACTATTCTCTTTAGGGAGAACTGGATCAGGTCCTTTCGTGACTCAGTCAGTATATTTACACTTATATACTGTTCAGCTCTGATTCATTGAATGGTTAAAGAAGAACTAGGAATTCAGCCTAGACCTCCTTAAATTCTCACTAGACTCTGTGTTGATTCAATCCCTTATTTCTCCAATTATCTAATAGAAAGCATGATTTCACTGTCATTAAAGATCACCCAGTTTCCTGTTTTCATCTTCTTTTTGCTGTTATTATGCTTCTCATTGAAGTCTCCTTTCTACTCATAATGAACACTCAGAGCATTTCATTGAGAAAAACGAGGAGTTAAACGTTCTCTAATTCTCTAATCTTCTAATCAAGACCCTGTCATTACTGTTACTGAATGCCAAAAGAGGTGTAGAAAGACAAAACTGCACGAGAGGTGAAAAGGACATTGCTGAAGTGATTTTGTGACCACGGTCACTTATAATAATGCACCGAATGTTGGCATGGCAATCTAATTGTGTAATGAAGCCTGTTCTGTAAACCCAGTTACAAGTTGCATTACATAATGTTGATGCTGAACTGCTTCAGTCACAATTGAGCACAATATGAACAGAAATTTGTAAAATTCTCTGGTTGTTATTGTACAGTAATTCAAACAGCTTGTCAGTATGGCATTTTTTTTCCCAATTAATTGGATATTTTTGAAACAGAAAGCTGTGATTCAATTTAGAAGAAAAAAAAAACCATGGGAAAATCACGTGTTTCACCAACAGAAAGAAAAAAAAAAAAAGAAAGTAGGCTAATTTTTTATCACTTTTGACAGTGTCCTTTTAAAGGGAGGACTAAAATAAATTCTAAAGGCCAAATTCTCCTCTCATTCAAATCACAATAGCTCCAGAATACTTAGTCCACCTTTCATACAATTGCTTCAGATTTATATAATTTTAATGGCAGCAGAACCTGGCTTTTCAAAGCTAGCTGTTTCACAACAGGAATACATTTCAAGAAGTGATATTTAAAAGAAAATAAATGTTTTTTTTTCTTCTATTTCCAGTTTTTTTTTTCCTGTTCCATTAAATTAGATCTAATTAGATCTGCAATATGACAGAGAAAGGCTTATAATGATTCCTCCTTTAGTCTTAAATAAGCTACCTTCAGAAAACAACTATGAAAAGAGTTAAGACAGAAAGTTCAAAGCAATCTTTGAATTCAGAATATGTTCAGAAGATACTCTCGATTTGTTCTAATACTACAGATTTTGTATCTTGAAATCTGTATTTCACAAAAATAGAAAAGCAAAGGATGTGAAAAATTGATTTGAAGGCTAAATTGAATTTCTCCTGTAATGGCCTGTTGGAGGCACAGAAGGGAGGGGAGGGAGAAAGGCTGAGACCGGTGCAATTCATGGAGCCAGTGACAGCCCAAAAACATGTGAGTGGTCTTCCAACAGAAAGTATGCTTTTCACACCCACCTCACCATCTCCCTAGGACAGTTCTCTCCCTAGGTACATCCACATGATCCACATTGTTTTTGTACGTGTTGAAATGCTTCACACTGCTTCACTGTTATTCCTGTACTATTTTATAATACTGTTCTGTATTATATTACCTATCCACACTCGTCTCTGCCAGTCTGTTATTCATAATCGCTAGGGCTCCAACTCCACCAGAGAATCCATTTTGCTTTGAGCTCATTTGCCGTGGATAGCCATTAGCAGTTTCAGACAGCTGTTTCTGCATGATGGCCAGGGAAACTTTGTTGGAGGCCAGGAAGTCCTTCATTGAGATCATCTCGCCTGACAGCCGGCGTCCATCTGTGTCGCTCTCATTGACGATGTCAGTCTCGATGGAGATGTTTCTCCGGCCGCGCACGTTTCCTGGCATTACCACGTTCCTCCGTGACCGAAATAATTTTCTTTGGCATCTATGGCAGCACCTGCAGTCCAGCTTCTTTAGTATCCAGTTTATGGATTGTTTGATGACGATAGAGATCACATTAAATAAGGAATAGATGCAGCAAACCCCCATGAGTATGAAGACAAAATTGCCAAAGCGATAGAGACCTTGGCTCTCATAGTGGGTGTTCTGGCTGCTTACCAGATCACCAAAGCCAATGGTACTGAAGGCCACGAAGCAGAAGTACAGTGAGTCAAAGTAACTCCACCCTTCAATCGGTGTGTACATTGCAGAGGCACAGCAGGAGATGATGAGTGATGCTACACACAAAATCAGCATGACGTAGTACACTGAGGGCTTCCAGCCTGCCAGGCTGTCTGCCTCCGAGGTCCCCGAGCCCCGCCGGCCGTCGTGAGGGAGGACCCCTTTCCTCCTCAGCTGTCTCTCATGGCAGGACTTCATGACATAGGCTATGACAGTGATCAGGCGCTCCAGGAACAGGTTAAAGAACAAGATGGTCCCTGCACATCCTATAAGGCCATAAAATATAAGAAAAATTTTGCCTCCAACGGTGGCTGGGGTGGTCATGCCAAACCCTGGAAGATAAAACAGAAGGGTTTTTTTAAAAAAGCCATTAGTTACTGAACAGAAGTTTTGTCCCAGGCTAGCCAGAATAGACAGAGGTACTGACAGCAACTCCTGGTAGCACAGTCAGCTCTGGAGGAAATGGAGGTCACTCCCCAGACAGCTATCTGCTTGAGCTTCACTGTGTCCCTGCAGCATGCAGAAGGTAGGCCATGCAAGCCTTTCCTCCAGAACCAGAATGAAACAAAAAAGCAAGAGAAAACACACAGGAAACAAATCAGAGTTTAATTTTTGTCTTGTTGGCAGGCTCACTCTGCTGTTGTTGTACCTTGTTTCATTTCTAGCTCCAGGATTATCACACTCACTACTTGTCCCTGAAGCTGTTCCATGCAGGGGTCCAATCCAGGGGCAGCTGTCACTTCCCAAGCACAGGGTCTGTCCCCACCACAGTCACACAGCCCAAAATAAAGTCTCCCTGTGTCTCATCAAGCTGTGGCTAGGGAATAGATGGCACATGGGCCAACACCCAGCACGGTGCCATGGCCCAGCCAGGGAGCCCAGCAGGCAAAGCGCCTCACAGCCCTGCATCCGACTTGGTGTCAGCCACCAATTATCAGCTTCTTATAAGTCACTGCTGAGCTTTTCTTGTTTGTCCACGTCCATACTTAAATCTGTACTTGGATCTTAAACATTGTCTCCTCTGGTCTCATTCCAGTTTGAGGGATTTCTCAGGTCTGAGGTGCTTCAGGTTTCTCTCATCTCTCTCCCTTACTGAAGCTTGCAAATAATACTTTTGGTTAGATCATCTTGTCTTAACATGAGGTTACTGAAGAATAAAGACTGAACAAGCATGTCTAGAACACTGACCAAATTAGACCAATATACATGCTAAGTAAGTTTGCTCCTATTTAATCTTCCTGGAGAAGATTAATAAGGGAAGAAATAACTAATCAATGAAGCCAATCTTGCTAGGAGAACAGAGAAGTCACGTTGGGCAAGATACACATTTATTTGTTTCCTTCTTTTCACAATTGTGGATTGTGAGATGCTAGTTATAAAATAAAGAAACGAGGCTCTGAAAAATAAAGGAAATTGTATTTGAATCATGGTACATTTGTGCTCTGAAGACAGACAACCACAGCATGAAGAAACCACGCTTCCAACTGCACTCATTCTACCACAGGAAACCTGCTATAGCACAGCTCCTTCTTGGATGTGGCTTCTGCTTCTGTGCATTTAATGACAGCCTTCAACCTCACCCCACTCGCCTCACTCCTGGCTAGGCTGTGGTGCTGCTGCTGATGGTCCTGTTGACCTGCAGTACCGCTGAGCTGTGGTCCTGCTGAACTGTGGTGCCTGCTGAGCTGTGGTCCCTCTGAGCCATGGTCTGCTGAGCTGTGGTTCCTCCTAACAGTCGTCTCTTTGGGCCACATTCTCCAAACCCCAGCTCCCAGAGGACCTGAAGGAGGCTCTAGCGTTCTCATTAAAGCTCTCTGCTGGAGAGAGCTGGACTGCAGCTCTGTATTGTGGAGGAAACACAGGCCTCTGTACTATCATTCTCAAATCAAACATCGGAGCACATACTACATTCCGATGTGTAACTACACTTTCCTAGTTGCTAAGCATTGCTTGTGGGGAAAAAAAGAAACAACTATGGGCTTAGAAGCAATTGACATACTTTGCTCCCCAGCTCCATTGCTGAGGGGTGCCAGCTGCCTGGGATCAGGATTTCAAGTACAAGCAACGCCACAGAGCAGGGACATGGCATTGCCCACTTGAGTTAGAGCCCTGCCCCTGATGGTGAGTGGGCAACTTTCAGAGAAAGGATATTGGAAAGTATAAATAAAGAAGAACATATAAATAGGGGGATCCTTCCCTGGAATCTGCAGTTCAGAGGATTTCAGGACATCATGTTTAATAATTTCTCCATCAATCCTGTCAAATCCTCTTTCAAATCATTTATACTTTTGCTCTCCTGAGGCAGTAAGTCTCACTATTTAATTGTGCTTTGTGGAAAGGAAGTCTTTGTCTAACCTGCTACCTGACAATTCATTTCAGGCTTCCTACTGTTGCGATAACATTATCCACTCATCTTCACCTTTCACCTTCCCCCTTCTGGGTTTATAGACTTCTGTTATTTCCTCCTTTCTCATTTCTTTCCCAGTCTGAGGAGGTCTATACTATTTAGTCTCTAGTTTCTCTCTGTTAAGACATATATCTAACCAGTATTATTGCCTTTCTTGTTTCTTCTCTGCCTTATTACTGTCCTTCAGAGATAAAGAAGTAGAACAAGAATGATATACAATATTTTAGATTACTCAGACATGAAGTATAGAGGAGAAGCCAACAGAAAAATATACAGGTGGGGAATGACTTAGTGAGCAATGAGACCACCTGATCCATGGAGCCAAACAGGGAAAGAGCAAAAATTTAAACTGCAGCCTGAGAAGCAAATACAGAATGAAATTATAAAATCATATAAAAGAGGAAATAAAAGCAGTGGCTGACAGTTGCAGATGATTTGAAAACACAAGATTACTTTTTGTGGTGAAGAAATAAAAACAGGAAACAACTGCAGGAAAAAACTGCTAGTGATATGGAATTTTTATGGTATGAGAAATGCTGGTGGAATGTAAAGAATATTATTTTACAAATAGAAGAGGATTATTTCATGTGGAAATCAAGATGATAGTTAATCAAATAGGAATCAGGAAAAGTGGAACATTTTTAAGCTACTGGAAAGCGCTTCAATCAATTTGTTGGAAATGTCTGTGGATATGACACCATCTTAGTAGCAACAGATATGCATATCAATTTCTACACAGCAATGAAGATGGTCTTCTGAGTACAAATTTCAGACTTCTATTCTGAAATTAGCACAGTACTGATTTGCCTGTAAGCCACGATCCACTTATTACAACAAACTGGTGTTGTATTTCACAATATTCAGCTGTACCCAACAACTACATTGCTTGTAGCTTCATTTTTCCTTCACTATTGTCATTTTTTGACATATTGCTCAAAAGAATACTCAGACTTGTTTCCTGAATATACAAAAATATCTTTAGCAGAGCTGAGTTTGCAGAAGCTGGAAGGAATTCAACCTCCAGAGTCAATAAAAGTTTTCTAAAGCACTGCACACCTCCCACTCAGAACAATTTTGCAGATTTTGGCTTGGTAGCAACACTTGTTGAAGTCTGTTATTAGTGCTCTAAAACCCACCTCTGTGTTCAGAATATACTGTGTGCCTATTCCAAAAGGACATAAGGATACTTAAACAAAAGAACGATAAAGGAAATTAAGTACATCAACAGTGTAATGTAATCATGTTCCATGGTTTCATAAAGCAATTAATGAGTCTAATCAAAGAAAAGCAACCAACTGTAGTTCTTACCAACAGTTTGAGAGGAAGGACTGATGTGCAACAAGAAGCCCTCTTGAAGATGAACCCTCTGGCAGAAGGTAAATACCAATATTACACAAACGCTCTCCTCAAAGATTAGTGTGTTCATATTGAAATACAACAAGAGAAAATGAGCATCAACTTTCTATAATTAATCAAATCTACAAAATGTCTGGTTCATCTAATTTTTCTCTTCAATATCCTGATTATCAGCCTTTGAAAACCCAGAAGAGCTATATTAAAGCAATCCCAGAACCTGGGCTGCACAGCCATCCTCATCCGCCCTCATCTCCCATCCCCATCCCATTGCATTCTCCTGATGCATCTGCACGGCATGGCTGAGGCTGAAGCTGTGCTCCCCTCATCCTGATGTCCTCAGAAGGCCACGGTACACTGCCCCCAGGAGTCCAGCTGCCTACTGCAGGCAGTTTTTATGTCATATCTTCTCTGTTGTAAACTACTCCAGAGCTACTGGTCGCCGTTTCTCCAGGTCATCACACACACTTTGCCTGGAGGTACACCATTTGCCACACATTCCTAATTCTGGATTTTCTGACATTCATGTATTACATTATTTAAACTTTCCATTTCCATTTCCTGGTCGCTTAGTATTGTGAAAGGGTATGAAAAGCAGTTCATCAATTCTAACTCTTCATGAATGAAGCCTGGAGCACTGAATATAATATAACTGTGTAGGAAGACTAGACAGACATGTAGATTTCACACTCCATTTTGGCTCATGAGATTGAATCTTTCCATTGTTCTGCAAGATAGCACTTTTTCTTCTTTTTTCCAAGAGGCTTCATTTCCCTTTTGAATATGTGTGTTGGGTGCTTTTGGTAGCAGTTTGCTTCTCCTGCCTTTCCCACAAAGAAGTGGGTAGAAAGAGGGCGTAACAGTATAGCAACAATAATGAATCACTGTAATGCTAGAAATATAATCACCAAATGGCTTTCCAGTTCAATTGACAATCAGAGCTCTTTGTGCGGTTTCTATATTCCCATTGCATTTCCTATTTATTTAATTCTTTTCTTTGTTTGCCTCTATCAGCTCTAGTTTGGTCATGATTCACCAGGAAAACAATAAATTTCACCAGTGGAACAACAAAAAAAAAATGATCGAGGACCAAAAAATGTGGAAGCCAAACTAAATAGGACCAAGAGATTTGACTGTAATGAAAACTGTAATTACTTTAGATAAATATAGGAAATCCTGCATACCTGCAAAGTTGCTGACCCTCTTTCCCCCAGTACACATTCTGCACTGAGCTATTTACATAGGGATATTGTGTGCTTCTAAAGGAGAGGCAGGAAAAACAACTTTAACAGAAGCTGTACTTGAAAGATTTTATTGAGAAAATGTCCTGTACTGTTCCCACAGTGTGCAGACACTATTAATTTGGTAAAAATCACTTCTGTCATGATAGTTTATTCTTGTACTCTCCGAGCAGGACAAGTAGTGCTACCAAAATTCTAGTTCCGCCAGAATAATCCTGTCTCCAATAAGAACTCTTCTAGGAACAGCTAAAGCACTGCAAATTATCCCATATTACTCCCCTTTTGACACCCTCACACCAGCAAGATTATAACAGAGCCCTGTTCTGGAAAG